GCATTCACCTTACCATGTAGCCATATGAGAGGCCTGTAGCATTCACCTTACCATGTAGCCGTTTGAGAGGCCTGTAGCATTCACCTTACCATGTAGCCATATGAGAGGCCTGTAGCATTCACCTTACCATGTAGCCATCTTTTATTGACGCCGGGATGGGGAAAGTTATGATGCAGAAGGGTCACTTGTAATTCATTTGAACACTGACAATCTAAATAAAAGTAGTTATATTCTTGTTTGTATTTGGACGTGAACCCAAGAAGTCACTGACTTTTCTTGTTTTAGTTTCTCTCTTTTTGGTAAAGTCCACTTTTGACCCCATATTGCTCGTGGCACAATGCAAAGTCAAATTTGCTGATACCGACACTTCAAAGGTGTGAGAATTGGCAAAAAAAATTGAAGTTAGTTGACAGTCATGATGTTTATCAGATGCAACCAAACAAGTTTCAGAGAAGGTTCAAACCTGTAATTTTACTCTCTACATGCCTGGGGTGTGACTGTGACTTTTTAATTGATTGTTTTGTTTGTAAGTGATCTTTGGTCCCATTCAGCTAGCTTATAGAATACTTCATATTTATTATGTATTTGAAAAGATTAGCACTATTGCCTCAGACTTCAAGGACTTGAATTTTAAGTGTTGTCTGTGTGTGTAGATTAGAATATTATGTGGGTTTCCTCACTTAGGCTAATTCGCATCTCTAAATTGCGTGTAGTGTGTGAGTGTGTGTGTGACCTGTGTTGGACTGGCATCCCGGCTGGGGGGTGAGCTTGTCTTCTGCCTTATGCTGCCTGGTATGGACTCCTGGTCTCCTTGTGTGCCTGTGCAGGCTAAGCAGTTGGAAGATGGATATATACAAATTATTTTATTGTTTAATCATATTAGATATTTATTGGACAATTTAATGTGTCCTTATGCCAAATAACAAGGATTTATTGCAAGGGTTGTTGACATAAACAGTAAACAAGCACAAAAATTTCATGCTTCAACATAAATTATTTATACAAAAATGATTATGCAAGTGAAGCACCACAATGTGAGTCCACCTTTGATTGCACTAACGTTGGGTGCCTGCCCAGTCTGTTGGCGTCACGGCAAGTCTCCTCATAAAGTAAGATGTACGCCTCTTACAGCTGCAGGGGACATTTTATGCTTCCAAGGAAGAAAGAGCTACTCAAGGTAGATTTAATCAAACGTTTTTAGTAACCGTCTCAGTTTAACACTCTATAACATCTGACATTAACACATGATTTAATATACATATCACATACACTTTAGAACAGGGGTGTCAGCTAGTTACAGAAAATGGATGGATGGTTTAGTGCGTGTGCATGCATATATATATATATATATACACACACACACACACAGACACACATATATATATATATATATATATATACACATACATGATAGTATTACGAAGTACAGTGTAATTCTTGTTTAATACATTTATGTAGATTGTGTATGTAGATTTATGTAGATGTCCCCATCCAAGGTGGATTGTTCACTTCCACATGCAATACAGATGAATGCCATCAGATACATCCAAAAGCCACCAGTGAAAAATTTTAGACATTGAAGAAAAACAAATAAATAAATAGAAAGATGCATCAACAACATTAATAATATATGTTCCAAGTCGAATGCAGCGAGAATCTGAATGGGCAGCAGTATACATTTTATAGAAATAGATGTTCAACATCTTCAACATTAAACCATTTCTTCCATCAGAAGAAGTCCTCCTTCTCCTTTGCTGGTTTCTCCTCCATAGGTGCCAGCTGTTTTTCTGGGTATTTGGTGTCCGGGATGCCAGCCGGGCTCATATCCGGCTCAGGGTCGGAGTCAGGAAGGTGCCACTGGATGAAGATCAGATACATGGCGGATCCCACTGTGCCGCCCAGCATCGGCGCCACCAAGGGAACCCAGAACCAGTAATTAAAACACCTGTGAACCAAATGCAGGAAGTGTTCTGAAGAAAATTCTCCCATACATGTTGGCGAAGAAGCAAAGACGGAGGTAGGAATTTACAACATAAGAGTATCTGAGACAATGTATCACTCATTTTTTCAATCACTCATCATAGGGTTGTACTTCCCAGTTATAATATGGAAGAATTTCAGAAGGTACTTTTAAATAAATGTACAGCTCTGGTAAAAAAAAAAGAAACCACTCTATGTTTTAAAAATCTGTACTTTTAAATGCTGGTTTAATCCTGGTTCAGAAGGCTACACTGCGAGGCAGGATGCTTCCAGGCTCACAGTTTCTAAGACAGCAGGACACAAGAAGAAGGTGAAGCAGGAGACACTGGAAATGACAAAACAACAAGCCAGGTAGAGGGCAGAAGCAGCTTTCTAATGCCAGAGATGACTGTCAATTTATCTATCAGTGCCTCATAAATTGGAGGATGACCTCAAGAATGAGTGCAGGACAGTGTGTATCAGGCTCCTAGAAGCAGAACTGAAGTCCCATAAAGCCAGGAAGAAGCTCTTCATCAATGGGAAGCAGGCAAGAGTCAGGCTGGAGTTTGCAAAAAAAAAAGAAAATTTAACACAGAGGCATACCAATAAATTGAGAAATCAGTGAAAGTGAATTTTTTTTCCAGAGCTGTATTTTATAATATTTATCCTTATATACTTCCTTATACTGTCCTTAACTTATCTACTACCCCCAAAAATAAACTAATCAATTTTATATTTCATTATGATTAAAATTGATTTTATGTAATGCTTGCAACAGATCTTTGATTTGATATTGATTCAAGATTGACACTCACTGGGAATGACTTGTTCTTAACTCAGCTAAAAGGTACACAAGACTAAGGTGTAGCAAGAACAAATAATATTACAAACGTGTTTCAAGATAGAAAGGGGAAGTGGAACACGCACGTGAAGGCCTCGGTGCCCCAGCCGGCCGTCAGCGTGAACAGCCGGGGTCCCAGATCCCTGGCGGGGTTAATAGCTCCCCCACAGTTGGAGGACATGGAAACGGAGATGCCCAGGACCACGGTGCCCACAATGGGAGGCAGCAGAGCATCAGGAGCTGGGCTGTTTCGTTTGTCGTCCAGGGGCAGTATGCATAGCAACAGCATCGCCGTGCCAACCACCTTCATACAATACGATTTCTGTTATACCTCACATTATGGCGCTTCACTTACATAATCATTTTAATGGTAGCTCAGTTGGTAATATAATTTCCAGGAAGGGAAGTTTGAAACCCGCTCCCACACTGTGTGTGTGTGTGCGTGCGTGTGTGTGTGTGTCTGTGGAGTTTGTATGATCTCACTATGCATCATGGGTTTCTGGCATTATCCCTGTGTTGTGAGTACTCCACTCAGTTAGGTGATATAGTGTGGTGTTTCCCAATCCGGTCCTCGGGGAACCACAGACAGTCCACGTTTTTGCTCCCACCCAAGTCCTTACCCTTGCAGGACCTTGGAGGGAGCAAAAATGTGGACTGTCTGTGTGTCCACCGAGGACCGGATTGGGAAACACTGATATAGTGTGTGACATATTTGTCTTGCCCTGTGCTTCCTGGGATTGGCTCACTGTGACCCTCATCTGAATGAGAGGCTGAAACACTGATGGATGCATTATATAAATAGAGAACGGGTATGGAATTATGCAGAAATAATAATATGTATCTGCTTCGGTAACTTAAATATTCACACTTCTGCTGTCATGTTTTACACAAACAAATATTACATAAACTTGGAAAGTAATTTTATAATAGTTTCATTTATAACAGTTGACATTTATAGTTCTTTAGCCAATGCTTTTATTCAAAGTCATTTTTTATTTGTTTGTTTGTTTGCTTATTTATGCATTTGTTTGTTTGTTTGCTTATTGTTTATGAAGCAAAGTTAAATAGACTCTGGAGCAATTGAGAGCTAAAACACTGTGACCCTGGGATACGAACTGGTGACCATCCGAGCACCAGCACAGCATCCTAATCCAACCCCCAGTTGATCAGTTGAAGATGTTTATGCTCTGGCCCAGTAAACATAACTAACGCATGTTTAACTCTGCATAACGTAACTCATTTACATTTCTTCTGGGGGATCAGGTTGTGTATTATAGTGAGCAGCTTGTTTAAAATATACGTCCAAACAGCCAGCAGCATTTTGAAGTGCAGAGCAGAAGACAGGTCTCCTTTATGCAAAGTAACTGATTTCTAAACAAGCATCTCATATGCGCTACAGCTGACCTACTAACATAAATGTTTGAATGACATCCATCTGTTTATCATTCCATCTTTCATAACCAATTATTATGCTCAGGGTCACAGTGATGCAGGAGCCTATCCAAGGTCAGCTTAGGGCAGAGGAAGCCCTGCATTGCATGCCAGTCTATCACAGGACACACCCTCACACACAGAATCATACATCTGTGGGCAGCCATTCCATGTATTTGTTAAATTTCACCACCAGTTCACTTAATTAACTTAATTAGTTATATAACACATTATGGTGTTAATTAGCCAAGTGCTCCAGTCAAAAAATTGCATGGGTGTATTGGATGGTTGCTGCAAATACTGGGGCAACTTTAGGAGAGGTTTGGCTAAGCTGACACACATTGAGAGACATAATATGATAGTTTGACACCAAGAGGAAGATCATTTAAACATAATTTTTCGGCTGCCTAAGACTTTTTCATAGTGCTGTACATTTAACCTGGAAGGAAGCCAGAATACCTGAAGTGAACTTTTGTAAATTCAAATCATCAACCCTGGATGTAACCCACTGTGCTGCCTCTTGATAATAATTCACTTTCCAGAGATCCCGTTCTCCGGGTCCTGCCTATCAGTGCTGGAAGGTGATATGGAACCCCTTAATAAGGTGATAGTTCCCTCTCTTTTGGTTTCATTTGGTTTAATTTACAGTTTTCTGCTGATAGAGTAACAGGTGTGCATGACCATACCAGACGACTCACACTGGAATCGTCTCAGTGCTCATTAATCAACCCTGTCTATACCACAAATATCTAGAAGACCTTTATCAACCGTACCTGGTCAAAGAAACTTCTCCACAAAGACAGAATGTCTGAGGGGTAGGTTGCAAAGATGGATGCAGTTTCATTGGGCCCAGTGACGGTCAGCACCCCCCCGCTGTACGCCATTATGGCATCTAAACACAACAGAGGGAAAATATAAAGAAAAGGTATGAAAAGCATGCAGTGATGATATACATTCTTCTGGAAGCGTGATTCTGTGTCTCGAACAGACAAAGAAAAGCTAACGCTGTAGCCGTTAGCGCGCTAGGTCAGCACCGCGTCAGTGAGCCTCACCGTAGTAAATGATGAAAACAACAGCAGAAGCCAGATAAGCGCCCAGCACCTGCGAGAGGCTGAACGGCAGCAGCTTCCTCCAGGGCAGCCGGCCCAGGAAACAAAAGCTGAAAGAGACTGCAGGGTTCAGGTGAGCCCCTGCAGGCAGAGGAGAGGGCAGCTTTCGTGAAACAGAGACCTTCGCGAAAGACTCAGACTGAACCATGGTCAGTGTCATTGTGTCTGCAGATGGTTACTATCTGCATCAGCACTGAATTTGTAAGCCTTTACTAGGGGCTCTGATTTTAATGAAAATCATCAATCAATGAATCTATCTATCTATCTATCTATCTATCTATCTATCTATCTATCTATCTATCTATCTCTCTGCCTGTCTGTTTGTCTGTCTAATCTATTTGTTTGTTTGCTTAATGAAACTAATTAGTGTAGATTTTAACCCCCCCCCCCCCCTCCGAAACCAGCCCAAACAAGGCTCCCTATATTACCTATAATAAATGCCAACAAATGCTTGGTATATACAGTACAGAGTATTATCTGATACTGCAAAATGAAAGACAGACATATGGAACTGAAACATAAGCTTCGGGGGGGTTGGTGGTGATGGTGGTGAGTGAAGTCGTTCGCCGTGGTTACCTGAGACTCCTCTGCAGAGGTACATGGCAGACATGACGCCCACGGAGAAGCCCATGTTGGCGGAAAGATATTGGCCCTTCGTCTCCCTGCTTGTTTTTACCTGAGCCGCAGCAGCGCAGCCAAACAACTGCAGGGGGAGGAGAGAAATGATGGAGATGAATGAGGGAGTGAACGGGTGAATAATGATGCGGGAACGAGAGGAGAAGTGGAGGCAGAAGGGGATGGGAGAAGCATCTGAAGAATAGAGCAAGTTTAGCAGCAGCATTTATGTAAAAATGTGCAGAAGATGAAGGAGCAGATCTTCCACAAATTCCAGAACACTACTCAGGGGTGCCACTAATATTTTAGGCTCCATGAAAGCATATCATATCAGACCAAGGCCAATCCAATTATGTTCCAAACTTTCTAGGTCCCCTCTTATTCGGGGGCCCTTGGAATCATCCTAAATGTCCCCCCCGACACTACTTACTGAAATGAAACAGAAAGACACTCCTCAGTGAAAGTTCTTAACCTGCTTGAGTCAATATTCACCAGCAAAAAAAAAAAAATCTAAAAAAGTATGTCTTTGCCAGATTTGACCAAAAGGTGTCTCCTAACCACAGAAATGTAACAGCAAGTCAAACGAAGGGATAAATTGAGAGTTATCTTTGCAAGGTTGCCCTTGTTCAAAGAATACTAGTGAATGTTTGAGATGTCAGGTTGTAGAGGATCTAGGGTGAAATGTTACATGCTGGCAATGTTGGTCCAAATAACCTAAAAGCCTGTCTGGTTCCACAAACATTTGATGATATTCACTAGTTTTGTGATCCAACATCACAGAAAGACGCACACTGTACACACGTAACACATTCCTTCAAATAACGATGAATAACAAACTGTTCTGCCCTGGCTGACCATAAAAACCCCCACTAAGTGCGAGCGTAAGACTCGCACTCACATAACAGTAAGTTCATATTGAAACTGCAGCGCCATTCCTGACTAGTGATGTAAGACTAGTGCTGTAAGTGCATAACGTGCATTTTACAGGAATTAAATTACTTTCCAAAGTCTGCTTAAGTCACACCCAGTATTATGTAATGCTTGGAAAATGTCTCTCAAGCCAGCACTGGAAATACTATGTCTCTGGAACATCGAGCTACTTTTTCTAAATGGTCAATAGAGATGGACAAAGAGATCTCAGGGTCAAAGGTTGGAGGCTGTATTTTATTTTCTTAATCTTCAATTGATGAAGTTTAAAGGTAATGCTCAAGTAAATCATAAGTTAGATGGATGAACACAAGGCACAAGCACACGGAGGAGATCAAACTATAGTCATGGATATAAAACAATGACCAGGTGCCCTTGCTTTCAAAGAGTTCTGGATGAGTGCAGGATGTGAGTTTGTGCAGGTGTCTTTGCTGGACTCACCATAAGAACGAAGGTGCCCAGGATCTCACCCAAGCATTCTCGAGCCAATGTGTTCCTCACCACGAGTGCCCTCTTCACCTTGTACATCTTCCCCTTGTTGTGTATCGCCAATGATCCAGAAGGCTCCATTGCCTCATCACACAAAACTCTGCTCTTGGTTTTATATTCAACTGTCCGCTTCCTCCAGAGTGGTCTTCAACACCTCCCGGTTGTCTAGATGTGTCCTGAAAGTCCTCACTTTGTCTAACTTTTTCAGTTCTGCTGCATTTTTAATGTCAGTTTTAGTAGGAGAGGTCAAGGAGTGCCAAATAAATAATTACTCCAACCAACTTTTAAAGCTTAAATAACAGCCAATAAATTCACGATTAAATATGAGCTGTTTGTGCTTTATGAATGTCTTCAGTCATGGCCAGCTTGATTACTCCCTTGATTCAGCTCATTCATCCCTTGCCTATCCTTCACTCTTCAGAAAAATCTCTCCATCAAGTTCTTCTTTTGTCCATCTGACTTCAGGCGCAAACCATAGCCTGCTAACATTGATCTGATTCTTTCCATTTATGTAGTATTCAGGAAATTGAGACTTTGACCGGTAATAAACATCTGCTTGTAAAAAACTGATATGTAAAAGACAATGAACAGCCTGCTACTATCTACCCCAGGTATCTCTGAATCTGGCCAGTGTTAAATGCATATTAATATTAGGATTATTATGACAGCCAAGTAACAGAAAACCTTGGGCTGGTTTCCCAAACAGGGTTTGAATAAGGCCAAGAGCAGGTGCTGTGTGGCTCAGCAGGTTAGACCTCTGTGCCTGTGATCAGTAGGTTGCTGGTTTGAGCTTAGGCAGGATAATTACATCTCTGTTGGGCCCTTCAGAAAAACCATATACACCCCCCCCCCATAAGGCATTTATGGCTGGAAAAATGGTGTTATCTTGTGTTTAGTCCCCAAGCTTCACTCTCTGTGTATGTGTGTGTGTCTCAAAGCATAGAAGATGGAACATGTGAAAGAAAACATTTCAATATACTTGCGCCAATGACAAATAATGCATAATTTCTTCTAGAATAGCTAATCATTGTCATCTTTCTGAAATACAGCTTAATATGGGATTAGTTACTCGACTTTGGAGTCCTTGACCAAGTTAAATTAAAAATGAAAATGTAACCACCCCTGTTAATAGTCATGAGTGAGGGGTGGAGACCAGACACGGGCCTGAGGGTGCTCCTAAACGCTGGAATGGATCACAAGAAGTCCATCATTTTGTGGAATCGGAGGAGTGAAAACAAAGAAATCAACGGAAGGACTATAAAAAAAACACGATCAAAACACTTTAGTGAGTATGAAAAAGCACTATTGAAGCAAATACGGTCAAGACATCCAATTACAGAAGACAAATAACACACATCTACAGCTGGATATAAAAAAAATACCTGGACAATGAATACAATGCAGATGGAAATTGCACTAAAAGGACAAAACAGCAGGTAAGTTTCCTTATTATCGTCATTACTTCATTCTTTTATGACAATGATTAGATTACATCACAATGATGTCTCGTTCTATGGAAAAATATATGAAAATAACCTGGTAAATGAACACTGCAGTGACGAAGGGAGAGGGTTAAAACTATGGTGGCCCCTCAAGAAAGGAGACTCCGACCAGTTAAATGACAATAACAGAGAACCAGCAACCTTTGTAGGGTATACCAGATGGTGACCACTGGGACAGTGCAGATGAGAGATTTAGCATATCTACTTTGGGTATGTATGTTTCACATTGCCAGTATCTTCCTGTACCAGTTTCCTGTGCTGAGAAACTCTCACCCTTCATTTAAACACAATAATTTGACAACTTCTTTAAAAAGTACTTTTACAGTTTTCCGAGTTGCTTTGGCATATTTCTCATATCAAGGCTGAAATTTTCATAGCTACTTGTACAACCTCTACATCATCAAGACATTTGTACACATCATAAATGCAATGTCTCATTCTTTTGGTCTAGTTGCAAATGCTTTGGCATAGTCATGTAAACGATTACAGTATTTACAATCATCTGCTGATTCCTGCATTTTCAATTGTTATGCTGCTCAAAATGTATTACACTGGTACTCTGTTGAATAGTCTTACCACCCAAAACATTAGACATTAGTTCATTGTCTAAGTCATTATATGCAAAATGTTGAACCAGTTGTCATAATCTGTCAAGCATATTTTCCATAACCCTCTATAACAGTTTTTCTGTAAATGTGTCCTGAATTGATGAATTTCTCTCAGTTGAATCTTGATTTTCACCAATAGAAGGGAATGTTTGAAGTGTTAGATCAGCCAATGATCTGTCAGATCTCTAAAATAGCTCAGAGGTGCATCTCATGAACCTTCAGTCGGCAAGTGTATAGTGACAGAGCACAACACAATGGTATAATTTGGCAATGGATGAACAACAAGGAAATGAACATGGTAACCAGCCAGTAAGATGAAGAGGAGAAAGGCTGCATGGCGGAAGGGTAGGGAGGCAAAACAGAGGAAGAGGTAGAAGAGGCCAAGAACAGAGGCACGTTCCTGTTCTTGGAATAAGGGCCACAATAGTGGACCATATCCTCAGTCATGGCCTTGCCATGTTGGGAGAACAACCGTGTCCTCAGTCATTCAAAGGTTTCATAGAAACAACAGGCATGTAATCCAACAATGTGCACTGTCCTGTAATACCTACTCTAGTGCTTCATGTTACAATATTCCCAATGCATTTTATAGTGTACAGAAGATATATTTCATACAGTAACATTACAGTAACTATACATATTCTGTAGCACACATACAGTATGTATTATGTGTGCATACTCAATGTGTGCATATCAAAATGTATTTTTGTTCACTGACATAAAAATTTACTTTTGAGAGATAAAATAAGGGTTTAGAGAAAGCTTTTGCAGGAAATCCATCATGTGTTGCTGTTTGTACGCATTGTTTCGAGTAATGCACTTAGTGTTTTGCAAACGATAAGGATGATTTGAGAAATGTACCAAAGCGACTGAGAAAAACTGTATTTATGCTGATGCCACTTATAGGGAAGTAACATGAACAGGTCTGAAGAGATACAGGATTGTCTACCTTCCACCTCTGCTGTGGGGGAAATCGTCACTATTTGCAGTCAGCGGAGAACAAAAAAAAACCACAAAACATCATGCATGAAAAGCTGGCTTTAGAACTTAAAACACAAGTTTAAATACCTAAAGGAAGAACGTGAAAATGAAAATACTCCAGATTGAATTGAAAATGGATTTCCGATATGGCAGTGGTGGGATTCAAACAGAGACAAAGTCCATTTAAACTGGGGTACCCTAAACTAAGCAGACTGTATCATGAAGCTGGATTTATTGCTGGATTTAATGTACCCAAATTTAAATGTACTTTTTCTATGTTCAGTTAAAGTTAGCCCAGATTACCTTAAATCCGACAAATTATCCAGCTAAGCAAGAAATCCTGCTTTGTGATACAGGCCAACGGTTGTATTTTCCGGGTTCTGCTTGACAGAACTATAGACCAGTAAAGAGCGGAGATCCTCCTTCCTAGTTCTGGGTAATCAACGCCATGTTTGTAGTCCCCAAGTGGCTTCACTGAGGGCAAAATATCTGCATGAGCTGGTTGTGAAACAGGGCTTCTCCAACACAAACACTTATATCTCACAAACAGAATACCATACAAAGAAATTTTCAACAGAGATTTATTCCAGATACTCTAAAGAATTCGATGGTACCTTACAACTACTGGTCAAGCCCTAAATATCCCCTGGTATTCACTCTAGTCCGAGAGATGGGACTTCACTGTTAAATTTTAGCTCTCTAGACAATGGGGTTGAGGTCTCCTCCCATTTACAGGGAGACATGATCATTAGGGAGTTTGTATTAGATGGTTTTGATTCCCCCTGTAATTAACACTCATGTCTGTAGGTATGTTTTTAGAGGTTTCAAGAGCCAAAAACCTAACCAAAGCTAAATTCATATAATAAAAGTTAGCTGTTATCGTTTTCTAAAAATCAAAATTAAGTGGTTTATCAGTTCAGCATTATCTAATTAAACTTTGGAGTTAGCAGATTAGTGGTTATTGAAGCTAACTTTTCGGTTAGCTGAGTCCACCACTGCTCCTCCAACAAAAATGCTTGAATCTCACAGATGGAGCATCACTGAAAGAAAATTTATTCCAGATACTCTATAGAATCCAATAATCCTCAGCTGGTTAAGTTCTCAGGTAATCACATCAGCCCTACAGAACTAAATAGCTAAATGGGTTAGAATTTCAGCTATAGGAAGCTAAATTTGTATAACACGTTAGCGGTTATCGTTAGTTTCCATTACATTTTTTAGTGTTTTTTTGGTTTTCGTGTTATCGAATTAAACTTTGGAGTTAGTAGCATAGCAGTTATGGAAGCTAACTTTTCAGACAGCTGCACCCACCACTGCCCTGAACATTCAAAAAGACAGTTTCCTGTACTCCTCAGCATGAGATGTTGAAGGACACTTGATGGGAATATGGCATCTACCCATACAGCCTGTCACTCCTGGGAAGTTCCCATATTCATAGACTTATAATTTGTATAATTTGCTTGACCTGGGATTTTGGGGGCTTGATGTAATGGGCCTTCAGTTTGTAAATGGCCCTGCAGAATTTATGAACTACTTTGCACACTGTTGGTTCACTAACACCACCTGAATCTCCAGTTTCACAGTGAAACAGTTAAAGTGATTGGTACTTGGAGAGAAGCAGATATCGGCTTTCCTCTTTGTGACAGCAATGCCAGACTGGGCTCCAGCAGGGAGCACCATTTTGTCTGTACATGCAAAAACTCTAAATGGTTTGATCAAAATTATTGAGTGGATTACTCCTGATAGATTTCTTTGTGGAACCACAGGTTCTTTCAGAGAGGAATGATGAGGCAGGTTCCTTAAGCTTAAGCAGTTTATTAAGACAAACGGCCGGTTCAGTGTTGGTCTGCATCTGTCTGCTCCCACTGAGGGAAGCAGGACCTTTATCTTTGGTCTTCATACGGACTCCTGGAGCCACGGGGTCAGACGACCTTGGTGAGAGTGAGTTGCATGAGGCAAAGAACATGATGTGAGGAACACATGGGTGATGAAAGCAAGTGGTGAGGAAAGAACAAAGAAATATAATAGGAGGAAATATAGCTATAAATGAGTGAACTAAATGAAAATAACTAAATTAAGTAGGGAAATCCCTCACTCCTGTCAATTAGTACTTATCTGGCAAGTGATGCTTGTTGGTCTTCAATGAAATGGTCCACGTAATCCATGTATCTGCAATGACAGACTGCATTAATTTGAAGTTAAATTTCCCTTCTTGGCCTTCATTTATTCCTTTAATAGTTCTAATCCTCCTTCAGGAAGTGGCTTAGTTAACTGAGGACTATGCTATGTATAGGTCTATTTCAAACCATGACTGAGAATGTCATGATTTCCAGTTAATCTGTGTTGAAAGACCATTTTAATCTAGGAGTAAGCTTAATCTTTGTCTGTGAAACCGATCCCTTCTTATGCTTGCAGACAGAACGGAGAAGCTTTTTTCTAAGTGGAGAAAAGAGGATCGGAAAAAAATGAAGCACCTACAAGCAGTAATTAATAAATCATGCTTGCATCGCCCTTGCCAATCTCATTATTACATCTATTT